GGATGGGCAGTCCGAGCGGACCATTCAAATTCTTAAGGATATGCTCTGAGCTTGTGTTATCGACTTTGGAGGCTCATGGGATCAGTTTTTGCCTTTAGCAGAGTTTGCCTACAAAAACAGCTACCAATCGAGTATTCAGATGGCTCCTTATGAGGCTTTATATGGTAGGCGGTGTCGATCTCCGGTTGGATGGTTTGAGCCAGGAGAGGCTCGGTTGTTGGGTTCGGATATGGTTCAGGAGGCCTTAGACAAGGTCAGGATTATTCAGGATAGGCTTCGTATAACTCAGTCCAGGCAAAAGAGTTATGCCGACCACAAGGTTCGAGATTTGGCTTTCATGGTCGGTGAGCGGGTATTGCTTCGAGTGTCGCCTATAAAGGGCGTAATGAGATTTGGGAAAAAGGGCAAGCTTAGCCCTAGGTTCATTGGCCCGTTTGAGATTCTTGATCGAGTGGGAGAGGTGGCTTATAGACTTGCATTGCCGCCGAGCTTATCAGTCGTGCATCCAGTATTTCATGCGTCCATGCTTCAAAAGTATCACGACGATCCATCCTACTTGTTAGATTTCAGCACCGTCCAGTTGGACAAAGACTTGTCTTATGAGGAGGAGCCGGTAACCATTTTAGACCGGCAGGTTCGTCAGTTGAGATCGAAGAGTTTTCCTTCTTTTGTGTTCAGTGTAGAGGTCAGCCTCCTGAGGCATTGACCTGGGAGTCTGAGTCTGATATGCGGAGCCGTTATCCTCATCTTTCCCCCGACTCAGGTACTTCCTTCTTATGTCCGTTCGAGGACGAACAATTATTTTAGTGGAGGAGAATGTTATGACCCAACCATGTTGGATGACGGGTGAGGGTCATCACTTGTTTGTAAGTTGAATTCTGCGTTCTGAGGCCTTGAAAACCTCATTTAGCATCACCTCGATTTGCGTGCGCAGTCCGGACGCATAGCCGGAAAGCCTAAATGTGAAAATTGATAAATTTTGATTGTAAAATAAATTAATTTGACTTCGGTCAAAATTTGAGGTAAACAGACCCGAACCCGTGATTTGACGGTCCTGGAGGGTCTTTAGGAAAATATGGGACTTGAGCGTATGCCCAGAATCAAATTTCGAGGTCCCAAGCCCGAGAAATGAATTTTTAAAGAAAATTATTTTCTGAAATTGTTTAAAGGAATTTGAAATGAACTTGATTAGAACATGATGGTATCGGGCCCGTATTTTGGTTCCGGCACTCGGTACAGGTTTTATATATGATTTAAGATGTTTCTGTGAAATATGGTGAAAAACCGATGTCATTTGACGTGATTCGGACCTAAATTGCTAAAACGGATGGTTTAAGAAGTTGAGATAATTCTTTGATTTTGAGGTTTAATTCGATGTTAATGATTTTATTTTGGCGATTTGATCGCACGGATAAGTTCGTATGATGTCATTTAGTTAGTACGTATGTTTGGTTAGGAGCCCCGAGGGCTTGTGTGTGTTTCGGAAGGTTTTGGACTTAGGAAAAGTTGCAGGTTTTTCAGCTGTTGGTATTCTGGTATGCCCTTCTTCGCGTTCGCGGGAGGACCCTCGCGAACGCGATGTGTTAATTTCTGCTGAAGGAAATTTCTTCTACGTGAATGCGTAGCCCAGGTCGCGAACGCGAGGTGTTGGGGGGTCTTCCCTTCACGAATGCGGTCCTGGCCACGCGAACGCGAAGGCTAATTGAGCCTGGGCAGGAGGTGGGGCATTTGACCTACGCGAATGCGAACCATTGCACGTGAACGCGAGGCTCGAGGAGTTTCTTCTATGCGAACGCGAGACGCCTTCCACGAACGCGAAGGCCTAGCAGGCCTAACCCATCGTGAACGCGATGGAATGTCGCGAACGCGAAGAGTAATTTCGCCCAGTTATTTTAAAAGTTCAGAAATAGTAGCATTACGGGACTTAACCCAAATTTCATAACTTCTTCTTCTCCACACCTCTTGGGGCGATTTTTGAAGAGCTTCTTCACCATAACTTCTTAGGTAAGTAATCCTTAACTTGTTTCCTTCCATTTTTATCATCAACCAATAGATTTCTAGGCTTAAATCATGTAATTAAGGGTAGAAAATTAGGGATTTGGGTAGAGTTAGGGCTTTTTGATTATTTGTGATTTAGACCTCGTTTTGGGGTCGGATTTGAAAACAAATTATATATTCAGGCTCGTGGGTGAATGGGTGATCGGGTTTTGGTCCGAACTCGTGTTTTGACCCAGCGGGCCCGGGGTCAATTTTTGACTTTTTGGGAAGAATGATTAGAAAGCTATAATTAAGCATTGGAATTGGATTGCTTAGCGTTTATTGATGTTATTAAGTCGATTATGTCTAGATACGATTTATTTGGAGCTAAATTCAAAAGGGAAAGCGGTGTTTGAGGCTTGAGTTGGTCGTGGAAGTTCGAGGTAAGTGTTTGGTCTAACCTTAGCTTGAGGGATTAGGAGTTGAGTCCTATTTTCTATGTGGTAATTGTTGAGTACGACATATAGGCATGGTGACGAGTATCTATACATTGGTGTCTAGCACGACTATGAGTCTTTATATGGTGAATATCTTGATTTCATTGTATCTTTCATGCCTTGGTGATGATTTCTATTTGTTGTGAAAAGTTTGTGGAAGAAATTGTGACATTTGAACATCGAGGAGCATTGGCTCAAGCTATATTACGAATTGTGAAAGTAAATGAGTTGATTGAACCCTTTGGAGCATTGGCTCAAGTGGTAAAGTGAATTATGAAGTAAAAGTGAATAAGAGAAAGAAGTCATTAAATTGTTCCCTTGCCCGGATATTGTTGCTTTATTGGTTATCTCTCTTGCCGGGACGTTGATATTATTGATGTTGCTGCCTTGCTGGGACTTAAGTATTGAATCGTTGTTCCCTTTCCGGAATTCCTATTATAATCTTGTTAACCTTGCCCCATTGTTTGTGTTTGTTGTTTGTATGAGAAAGAGTGTTAAAGCACGAAGGGTGATGCCGTGTATTGCTTGTTTTGGTGAGGAAAGAGTGTAAAACACGCAGGGTGATGCCATGTATTGTTTATTTGTGAGGAAAGAGTGTAAAGCACGAAGGGTGATGTCGTGCCACACGATGTACCATTCCGTGCCTATATTATTGATTATATGGTGAGGAAAGAGAGTAAAAGCACGAAGGATGATGTCGTGCACATTTTTGTTATATAATTGCCTTGGTGAGACCAAGAGTAAAAGTACGAAGAGTGATGCCGTGCATTTATTGATTACTAATTCTTTATTGATATTCGAGTTATGTTGTTTCCTTCGTTACTTGATGTCTTTCTATTTGGAATTGTTATCTTCCCCACAGCATGCTCCCCCTCCCATATTGACTGGTTAGCTCTGTATTTCTTTTCCGTTGTATATATATTTGAACTGCTACATGTTTATTTGGTAGTCTGGTCCTAGCCTCGTCAGTACTTCGCCGAGGTTAGGCTAGATACTTACCAGCACATGGGGTCGGTTGTGCTGATACTACACTCTGCACTATATGTAGATTCTGGAGCAGCTTTTGGATCATAATGTGGAGGCTACCTTCAGTCCACGTGGAGATCCAAGGTAGACCTGCAGGCGTCCCCAGGCCCTGGCGTCTCCTTCTATCTCTACTTTCCTGTTTCATTTTCCTTACATTCAGAAATAATGTATTATTATTTCTTCAGACCTTGCATGTAGTAAATCTTAGATCGTCTATGATATTGTGACACCAGGTTTTGGGTGGTTAAGAATTAAGTATTTGTAATAGATGCAGATTTCAGACATTTAATTGTTATCTTCCGCTTAATTATTTAAAGTTCTTCTATTTTTATGTTATTGACTTATATTGTTAAAAAGAAGTAATTTGATAATGAAGTAAGTAGTTAAGGATTGGCTTGCCTAGCTCTCATTAATAGGCGCCATCACGACTCCCGAGAGGTGGGAAATTCGGGTCGTGACAGTTTTCTTAAATTTAGGGGTGTACAAACTGAACCGGAAAACTGCACCAAACCGAAAAATCAAACCAAACCGACATATAAAATATATAATTTTTATATATACTTTTAAGACTTTTCATAGAATTTTCTTTAATAATGTCTAGAACTATTTGCGATTCTTTTATGGGATGTAATATTTAGTTAAATATGAAGTGCTCTATTTTAATTATCTTTAAATAATGCGTTGTATGATCACTTTCTTATTAAATATCAGTGAAATGCATCAATCTCTTTGTTCTTTCATATTCATATGTCAAGATCTATTAAATTTTTATATCTTTTCGAATTTGAAGTGTTGTTAGAAATGGTATATTGCTGTAATGATCAGTCGTGCAAGTATGATTCAAAGTCAAAACTATTGATAGTGAACGTGAAAAGATGCGAGAATAGCCACATGCAACGTGCAGGTTGTAATGCATATATTTTAGGGTTTAGAGACAACTATGCCTGAGTTGTATAGGGATATTCTGTTCGTCTACCATATGAGGTGTAGCAACTAGAGGCGGAGCGACTCAGATTTAAAGTTTATGAGTTCTGATTTTGTACTGAAGCCATAACTTGTTAGTTATTAGGTTTGCATTAAGTATTTATACATAGTTAACAAATTTTCTAATATAAATATAATGTCTTGACAAAATACTTGATTCGTCCGGACCCGTAAGTAACACTGGTCTCCCTCCACCCCTGGTAGCAACTACTTCCCCTAGGTTAGGTGTGGGCAAACCCAGGAGGCAGAAGGGGGTTATCCGAACCCTTTTCACAGAAAAACCGCCAGATAAATTGAGACGGAGGGAGTAATAAAACTGTCAGGCAGTACTAAATTAATACCATGTGCATCATTCTTCTTATTCTTTTCTTTTGCTTCTTTTCCTTCTTACTTGAAATAATTGATGCATTAAAAATAAAAATTTAAAAGTCAACTAACTAATTTCTGTATTCTACTCCCAATACCTATTCACACACACATATATATACTCATAATATCTTTGTACTATCTGCAATGCAATATTCCTTCTTTATTTTCTAAGTGGGAGAGACAAAGAGAAAGAAGAGATGGAGAAAAAGAGCTTAGTCCTATTGCTTTGTTTCATTGTTATGGCTATGCCAATGGTTAAAGGGGTTGAGTTAGGACCCAAAGCTGTTGAAAAATGGTTCGAAAACCTTTCCCATGCAAAGCAAAAGGTAACCAGATTTCATTTCTATTTCCACGACATAGTTAGTGGGAAGAATCCAACTGCAATTCAAATAGCTCAATCCAATACAACTGCTAAATCTCCAACTTTGTTTGGGTTTGTTGCAATGATAGACGACCCATTAACAGTTGGGCCAGAGCCCAATTCAACAATAGTGGGCCGAGCCCAAGGAATTTATGGTTCAGCTGATCAAAAGGAAGCTGCCCTTCTCATGAACCTCAACTTTGTTTTCACAACTGGTAAGTACAATGGTAGTACACTTAGTGTCCTTGGCCGGAATCCTGTGTTTAATCAGTACCGTGAAATGCCGATCGTCGGCGGTTCTGGTGTTTTCCGGCTAGCTCAGGGAATTGCCACGGCGAAGACCGTTTGGTTCAATTTAACCAGTGGAGATGCTGTTGTTGAATATAATGTTATAGTCCGACATTATTCACATTAATTATAGAGTTTTGCTTGTTGATTTTCTTTTGTAATTTCCTTTTTGTTGTACTCAATAGTTCTATATTTCTTTTTTTTTTTTTTTTTTTTTTTGGGTCATAAGAATAAGGATGTATATTGATGATCAATGAAATAAGACGTTTAAGATGTCTTGACTTGTACGGATAGGCCAACTTAATTTTTTTTGGGTATGTTTAAGGTACTAAATAATCTAAACAGATTTAGCCAACTAACTGAGATATATACCAGGCCAGAAGCGTATTCAGGATTTCAAAAGAATGAGTGCCAGAAACTCGAGTTTCCGAAATGGTGTCTGAGAGATATATTTTTGGTTTAGGAATTTTAAAAGTCAAAATAAAAAATAAAAAAAGAAAAGAAAATGTGTAACCAATAAAAAAAAGAAAAAGGAAAAAAGAAACAAAAAATATGTTTAATTAGATAAACGGCAGGGGCGTGGGGATTTAACCCTATTTATTAATTACAATATAATTTAAAAGAAGAAAAAAGCAGGGGGATCGACTCCTAGACTAAAAAGTAGAAGGTGCATGCACCTCCTTACCAATGTACTAAAGTGCTCACCTGAACTTGGGTTCACCTGTATTAATTTAAATATTTGAGCTAAAATTCACTAGTGTTATGTATGATTTAGGGTGAGGAGGATGGGCTTACGTGAACCCACCCCTCCCATTTGCATCCCCCCGACAAGGGCAAAAATTATTTTTAACCCGCGGCCAAATTACTAATTATATTCAGTAGCTGAAAAAGTGTATAAAAGTTCTATTTTTTTTGTACATAACATCGTATATATATTATACACAAAAAATATACCAAAAAATATGTAATTTTCAATTATTATTTTGAGAGTGACTATACAGTGATATTTTTCCTATATAGAATTACTTAAAAACTAAAATGTGCTATGGCAATATATATATATATATACACACACACACACACAAAAAAAAAAAAAGTACACAAAAAAAATATGTAATTTTCGATTATTATTTTGAGAGTGACTATACAGTAATATTTTTTCTATATACAATTACTTAAAAACTAAAATGTGCTATGGCTATGTGGTGATAGATGTAATGAAAACAAAAAGTCGTTATTATGTGGAAGTGAAAGCTGGCATATTATAAAAACCATGCCGGCAACTAATTAATTAGCTGATTTTAAGTAGTCTGTGATAGCAATTAAACATTTTAATGATGCGTTTAGTTTAGTCTTCATACAATATATTTTTTCATTGTGTATATATCAAATGAGATCATGCGGTAGTTATGTTGCTAACTACTCATCCATTATATTTGCAATATGTTTGAATAATTATCATCTAAATGGATATATAGTCTAGATAATTAAAACCCTATGACTAAAAATAGTTATGCGTTCAGTCAAGTTATTTAATGATTGTATTCATTTCCAATAGTTTCATACAGATTTTATTATAAGCTACATTAGATGTGACTATTATTCAAGGGCAAAAATAGCATTGCAGTTAGTGGTTCGACCGAAATTAGTAATTTTGTCCAAATTTTATTTTTATTTTTTTCATTTAATATGTACAAATAAAAATTAAAATAATAGAATTTTGAATCTATAAACTTTAATTCTTAGCTCCGCCTCTAATACTAGTATTCCTTTAATATGCCCCTGTTCGCAACACTAGAAACTTGTCAACTGCAGCACCTCTCGCGGTTCAAGTTTATTCAATTAACACTACTATATTATATTGGGATTGTTACGCAAATAGCCTGCCAGATTTATTGTTTACTTTTTCTAGCCAATATACATAAATTATACATTGATTATACATATATTGCACATGCATTATACATATATGATACATCCACCGATTATTTTTAGTTCAAAAAATTAAATGGACGGCTATTTGAGTTAATTCTTCTATTATATTTTACTCCAAAAGAGAAGGAATTAACCCTTTTTTTTGTCATTAAACTTCATAAACAAGCAATATCTGCACACATAAATACTCATGTCTTTGTCTGCAACGTATTTCTTTCCTCAATTAGAAAAGAAGTTGAAGAGACTTAGAAATAGGAAAGACGAACTTAGTTCTATTACTTTGTTTCATGGCTATTATTGCTACCAATGGTTCAAGGGATATATTTGTGTTAGGACCTAAGACTGGAAGAATGGTTCCAGAAATTTCCCTATGCAAAGCAAAAGGTAACCAAGTTTCATTTTTACTTCCACGACATAGATAGTGGGAAAAATCCAACTGCAATTCCAATATCCAAGTCCAATATGAGTGCTAAGTTTTCAACTTTCTTTGGGTTTGCTTCAATGATAGACGACCCACTAACATTTGGGCCAGAGCCCAACTCAACAATAGTGGGTCGAGCCCAAGGAATTTAATGGTTCAGCTGATCAAAAGGAGTTTGGTCTAATCATGAACCTTAACTTTGTGTTCACCACTGGCAAGTATAATGGCAGCACACTTAGGGTGTGTTTGGTATAACGGAAAATGTTTTCCGTGGAAAATGTTTTTCAAGAAAATATTTTTTGGAAAATAAGTAGTAATCTTATTTCGGTGTTTGGTACGCAAATTAAGGAAAATGACTTCTCAAGAGTATTCATAAATAATTTAGATATAATAAACATGAAGCCATAAACTTTCAAACCAACAACCTTCCGGACCCACAAATTTCATACACTTTCGAACCGCTAAATTTTCAAAATAGCGGAATTTCGAACTCGTAAACTTTATAATTTCTAAACCCGTAAACTTCCAAACACATAAACCTCTGAACTCATAATTTTGGAACTTGTAAAATTTTAAGCCTTTAAACCGATAAATAATAAAATTAAAACTAAAAAATATATTTAAAATTTTTTTCCGGGGGGAGGGGGAAGGTGGGGGGTGGGCAGTGCAGAAAAATAAAAAACAGAAATTTGAAATTGCAAAAAAAAAAATAAGGTAAAAAAAATATTTTTTTTTGCGGCGGGGGATGGAGGGGTAGTTGGGTGGGTGGTAACGGAAAAACTGAAATTTGAAAAAAGAAAAACCTTTTTTTGGAAAGGAAGTGGAGTGGGTTGGTGAGGGTGGGGAATGTTGAGAAGGAGCTTTGAAAAATGTTTTCCCTTCTCTTGATAAGGAAAATATTTTCCTCCAATTGGAGGAAAATAAATTGATAAGGAAAATGAATTGATAAGGAAAATATTTTCCAAAACATTTAAGCCAATCAAACATGAGAAAATTGGAAAACATTTTCCAGAAAATGTTTTCCTTTATGCCAAACACACCCTTAGTGTTCTTGGCCGGAACCCTGCATTTCACAAGTACCGTGAAATGTCGGTCTTCGGCAGCAAAGGCGGATCCAAGATTTAAACTCTATAGGTTTAGCTTTTAAGGATTTTAGCATTAGACCCATTATATTTTTAAAGTTATGGGTTCATATCTATTATTTTTATAATTTTAATAAATTTTTATATACAAAAAATTATGAGTTCAATTAAACCCCTCGATGTAATACTACATCCGCCGCTGGTTGGCGATTCTGGAGTCTTCCGGTTGGCTCAGGGAATTGCTAGAGCAAAGACCTATTTGGTTCAATTTAACCAGTGGGGATGTTATATAACGTTATAGTCCTGCATTACTGATATTTGGTGTTTTGCTGGTTGATTTTTCACTTTTGAGAGATCTTAAACCATCCTCTCCAATGTTCTATCTTTTCATTTTGATTTCTTTAATTACATGTGAAGAAGTGGCACCGTAAAAATCAAACACACCTATTATGCGAAAGATTGTTACTGGTATCAGCATAGTATTAAGTCTTTAAATACACAAGAGAGTGTCTATCTATCTTCAAGAGATATGACCAATAGCAAGTGTTTATTATTAACGCATTTTAAGGGCTAAGACTTTCTCTCGACATCTTTCTTTTATTTAAGTCATTGATCTCATTTCTATAAGCAGAGAGTCTGCATTCACTATTAAGCCCACGCCTGTCCATTCCTTTCAAGCTTGATCCTTCCCTTAGACTCGTTACCTTGTTCGACTGAACTCGTTGGGTCCACGCTCTATTCGGTCGTAACCTGGTTGGAGAACCTTCCCTCATAGATTTCTTTCATCAAGTCATCGCTATAAAAGTTGATAAGAATTGTAAAAGGCTTGTATATAATGATTACAATAGAGAAGTTTATATACAAGTACAAGAGGAGAAGGGAGAGAGGAGACATAGTTCTATGTACATAAGACTCTTGTGGAGATAAGAAAGAATCTCATAAGATACAACTTAAACTAGGAGTCCTGGATAGGATAGGAGTGTCTATCCTTATTATGCCCCCTCAAGATGGTCTCAATCTACTTGAGACCAATCTTGTTGACAACGTGTGTAAATGATCGTTTAGGCAAGGTTTTTGTTAAGGTATCAACAAGTTGATCGCCAATGGGTATGTGATTAACAGAGAGCTCATTGCGTTCCACTTGATCTTGAACAAAGAGAAAATCAATAGCTACATATTTCATACGACTGTGAAAAATTGGGTTGCGACTAAGGTAAGTAGCACCAATATTGTCGCAAAACTGTGGGGTCCAGCCCCTTAATTTAAGGAAGAAGTTTTCTTCCTTGCTTCAGTTTTCAATATAGGCAGCAGCAACCCACGTTTTCTTTGTCTGTCAAAGAAAGTAGGCTGCAGAACATTGAAATGTCAAGTATAGGAGGCTCGTTTTTGCCTATAAAATGAGAGCTTCGGCTCTCATTTTTTATCATCAATCTTAGAGGAAAATATATCTGAGAGCTAGAAAGAAAGAGTGAGGTTTCACAGACAGGTTATAAGAAAATAGTCTATGAAGAAAATAGAGAGTGTGAGCGATATTGTAGTGAGGTGAAATATCAAAAGAGGGTTATTTCTTTTGAGTATTGTAGTGGTCTTTGTAGTATTTTTACTCGGGCCTACAAAGTGTAAATTCCTTACTATAGTGATATCAGTTGCTCCTCTCGGGGTCGTGGTTTTTCCCTTATTCAGAAGGGTTTTCCACGTAAAAATCTGGGTGTCATTGTTACTCTTTTATTCTTGTTAATTACCGTATCTCGGTGCTACATTAATATTCCGCTTTTATTACCGTGAATATTATTTTGGTAGGAGGTTTATTCCCAACAACTAGTACCAGAGCACAGGTTCTGCTCGTTCACTGAAATACTATTCACTGTCGTTAGTACTATACTTGGTGAAAAATAAAAATGTCCGGAGTAAAGTACGAGGTAGCAAAATTCAACGGAGATAACGATTTCTCAACATGGCAAAGAAGGATGAGAGATCTGCTCATCCAACAAGGATTACACAAGGTTCTAAATGTTGATTCCAAAAAGCCTGATACCATGAAAACTGAGGATTGGGCTGACTTGGATGAAAGAGCTGCTAGTGCAATCAAGTTGCG